AATAGGGACTGTAGGTTTGTTCTTAAGTTGAATCTGTATGTAAGTCGGATCTGGCGTCAGCCGCTGCTGAAACTGATCAGTTTCAACAGCGGCTGAATCTGGACGCCAGTTCTGACTTACATACAGATTCAACTTAAGAACCCCAGGCATCCCCAAGTCAGCTGCTGCTGAAACTGATCAGCGGCTGATTCCAGGAAGCCCGGGGACTTGGGGACGCCTGGGGCAGAGCAGCTGGGGTGCTGCTGGGTTGGTCCAGTAGCGCCCAGAGCAGTGCTACGGGACCAACCGGCAGCGCCCCAGCTGCTCTACCACAGGCGTCCGGAGAAAAGCCTGGTCTGCTTTTCACTAGCTGTGCCCCCTCCCCCCCAGCCTCATTTGCCACCAACAAAGGTACCTCATATTGTGTGTGCAAAGTGACTAATAAGTGCCTGATTGAAGTTTTGACTTCTATTAGTCTAGCCAAAGCCAGAGCAATTTTCTTGGTCTGCATGTCCAGGGTTTAGATGGATTCCCCTGAGGATGAGCAGGAAATACCACCAGACAGAAGATGCTAAGAGCCTAAACTGCTTCTTCAGCATTCAATGCTGTTCTGATGTTTGGGCTGCTACTCCAGCCTTCCTACTAATAATGGTTTTGTATGTCAGAGGTGGCTTCCAATAAACTCAGGACATTATCCTTAAAGGACACATGAAATGTCTTGTTAATCATGAAACTGAATTTTCTCCTGCTGTATATTTTCCCATGATTTTTTGTGGGGGCATCCTCCAGATTTTAGCAGACACACACAAACCAAACCTTATCTCATTATTTTTAGTTTATATGTTTACAGTTGAATTCCAGTAATTATTAGTGTTCAGATACCATTGTGATTGACTTTGATGGGCTTTAAATCATGCTCTGTTGACATGGTATTTTAACTATGAAATCTCTGACTACTCAATAGTCTAGCAAATCATTACTAACCTGCCCTCTCTTCCTTATACCTTTGCAGGAAATATATTACAGATTATGATTTATTTTTTATTAAATCCCGCTGCCCGGCGCGCAAGAATGGCTTGGGCCATCCCTGGCTACACTTCAAGGATGAAAGCGCGGCGTGGGGGCCGGGGGTGGGCGGGGGCGTTCCCCCACAAGGACTTCCCCAGCATCGGGCTCCACACAGCATTTCAAAGCGGCAGCGCAGCTTAGAGCTTGGAGTCAGTGGGGGAGTCCCCAGCTGACCCCGGGCTCCATACGGTGCTGCTACTCTGAAACACTGTATGAAGCCTGGGGACATCCCAGCCACCCCCGAGCTGCACGCGGCGCTGCTGCCTTGAAGTACCCCTTCCTCTCCCCCCACCCCCACGCTGCCTCTTTCTGATAGAGGCAACAAGGGGGGCGCAGCTTAGAGCTTGGAGTCAGTGGGGGAGTCCCCAGCTGACCCCGGGCTCCATACGGTGCTGCTACTCTGAAACACTGTATGAAGCCTGGGGACATCCCAGCCACCCCCGAGCTGCACGCGGCGCTGCTGCCTTGAAGTACCCCTTCCTCTCCCCCCACCCCCACGCTGCCTCTTTCTGATAGAGGCAACAAGGGGGAGAAGCGATTAGTCAACTACCCTGTTGACTAACTGATAAGTATTTGATTATCGGATAGTTGACTAGTCCTTCACATCCCTATGTCAGATTATTCATATATCAACTTCAGTGCAGTTGCCAGTTCACAGCAGCAGTGAAATTGTCCTAGTATTTTCAGTATGGTAGAAAAAAGTCTAGAAATTTTACCATTAAAAATGTCATTTACCCATATTTAAAAAACAAATGTAGGGTAAATTCAAAGAGAATTATATTCATCAATAATTTAGAGGCTTGACTTCTGTGCAAGAAAATATAAAAATATGATTTAAAGACTTACTTAGCATTATTCAATTTGTCTTGTTCAGAAAGATCTTCTCTCTTTACCATTTCTTGACGAATTGCTTTTGGTGCAATGGCATCTATTAAATCTAGTACAGGTAAACTAGTGCTAATAGATTTGTCCTAAAAGAAAGAGTTAAAGAATTATTACTATTCAATAGGTTTCCTTTAATTTTTCTAGTAGTATTTTTACAATGCACACAAAAAGGCGTAGCAACCACTTTTTTATTTAAGATAGCATTACACTTCGTTCTTCTACTTTATTTTCTCTTTCTACTACTTAAAAGGCCCAGTTGTGCTTTCGCTTTCAGAACTGGTAGTGCTAAACAAATATAAACAATATGCTTCATTTTGTGATGCCTGCACAGCAGTGACTGATCTTTTACAATGTAAGGTCTTCAAGACAGCCTCAGTCTTAATTTTTATGTATTGAACACATTGTTGATGCTGTGGAAGCCATTTCATATTTAGCTAGAAGCCATTTCATATAACAGAAGCCATTTATGTTTCTTGCTTCTGCACATATACTGTAGAGTGAACTCTCCTTTACCGATGTGAGAAAGGCCAGAAGGATGAGCTATTGGAATATGTTAATTGACCTGTTTTGAGTTGGAGCTCTCACTCCCTGCTACCTGTTTCTTCTTGCTGATAACAGTCTTCTCTTTTGAGTTTAATTGATGATTTCTGTAATTGGATGCTGTTTGTTAGCCACCTAAACACAGAGAAGTCTTTTGCTTCGACAATGCTAAAACCTCTACATTTCTTTTTTTCCTAGTTAACAATCCTTAGTAGTTTTATTCCAGAATTGACTATAAGCAATGTCTTTGGTGTGAGATTTGAAGTACAAATTGGGTAAGTGACTGGTCTCTTAGGACTTAAGGCAATCTGAACATTGTGATCTGTGCTCTATAGCAACCAATGAAGTCCAACTTGTTTGGGTGGCAAGACAGACTGGAATACTGAAGAGGACCATCTGTGACTCCCTGGTAAGTTTGCAATAGTGCTTCAGGAATACACATGTGCTGCTGGGTTAGTAAAATGTAATTGCAGAACATATAACCCATTTGGCATTTCTGCCCAGCTTTTTTGACTGTCCTCCCTGAGGCTGTCCTGTGGTACCTTATAGACTAACTGAAGTGTTGGAGCATAAGCTTTCGTGGGCAAAGACCCCTGGCACTCATAATCAGGAACCATTCCAGACAGCATGACAAAAGCAAAGGTGGCCTCAGGACTGCTCTAATTTATGCTTGGCTGCCAGCATCCACAAAGACAATTCTGGCACCTATGGGTTGGTGGAGCTTAATAGCACTCACACAGTGCCCTCCAGTTTATGTCCTCTGGTGATTCCTTAGGCAAGGAACACTCACAGTTGTCCAGATGAGCTAGTTTTATGGTCCTATGATGGGCTCTTCATCCCATACCACCTCTGAAGGGATCAAAAATTGCTCTGAAGCTGCTTGACAGGGTGGGCTATCCTTGGGTGAGCTTGGGGAAGGGGATAAGAAAGATACACAATCCTAACTGAACATGAAGCCCAGCTGGGTTTGTTTAGTGCCATTGTGGGGAGAGCAGAAAGATGAGGAGAGTGTCAGCAGTCACTCTCAGGCCACATCTACACTGCAGGATTCTTGCCCAAGACGTCTTTTGTGGAAGAATTCTTGTGCAAAAACTTCTTGCGTAAAAGTGCATCCATACTGCATGGACGCTCTTGCACAAGAAAGCTCTGATGGCCATTCTATCAAGCATCTGTGCTTTTTCGGATAGGCTCTTTTTGCAAGAAACCCCTGTTAAGTGTCCACACATGCCTTTTTGCTCAAGAGCTGTAGCACAAAGAGGAGTTATGCCTTGTAGAAGGAGGTATACCTACACCGCAAAAAGCCCTCTGTTCTGTCGATTGACTGTAGAATTTCCTGCACAAAAACGTGCTTGAGGTGTGGACGCTCCGCGGATTTTTGCGCAAAAACCTTGTAGTCTAGATGTAGCCTCAGAGATTTGAAAGAAAGGAGCAGGAGGAAGTGTAGGGTAAACAGCAGCAAAAGTGAGACCACATGGTTCTCAAATGCTCATTACAGAGTTCTGAGGCACCACCACTAAAAACACATTCTACTGGCCATGGGAGCTCTGCTAATCAGCTGGGTGACCTTTGAATCTCTCTTGGGTGGCCATTCAATCAATCAGCTTCCAGAGAAAACTGGTAGAATGTGGACCTGGGTTCCTCTAGCAGCCTGGGGGAGAGTGGCATGGACAGGGCAGTGGACTGCGAAAATCTACAAGAGGCAGTTTGTTTAGAATAGAGAGATTTTAATATTCCATAAGTGAGGGGCAGGGGCGGGGACAATAATGACCTGACTGGAGGGCCAAGCCATGAAGAGAAAGTGCTTCAACTCATGAGGCATAAAAGAGACTGCAGACTGAGAAATTGGGACAAAAGGCAAACTGTGCAGTTATCAAGTCTTCTGCTTCTGTCTTCAGAAACAATCATCTTATGTTGTGGTATCACTCCCCATCTACAACCGTGCATTGTCCAGTCATTAAATATTAATGCCATGTAAAGAAGTAAACTTTTGTCAAACCAACAGTAACATCCGCAGCAATTTGTTATGGACTTTAATACTCCATCCCCAGATGGTATTTTGAGAATTTTGTTTCTAAGAGTTGCTTCCCCTTAACCTAAAATAGCAGGTGCTTCTGCTGCAGTTGCTTCCTTCCAACTACAGCAGATAAGTAGCCTTATGCAAGATGCCCTCAAGAATCAATCAGCAGGAGATGCCAAAGCAGTGAAGTAGTTGGTTCCTTTCCCTAAGAGACTCATCATATAATCCAAATGATGTGCCTGCTCTCACCAGCCACATTAAACCTTAGGTTTCCAGTTCACTCCAGTTCTCTTAGTGCCATCATAATCTGGGCATTTAATCACAGCACTTTATTAGGTTATTTGAGAAGAGTAAGCGGATGATGTGTCTCTCTAAATTCATAGATCAAAAAAAATCTCTTTAATTCTAATTATTTGGGCTGTTGCCAATCCATCATGGTTCTATTTTAATGGTTTATAATGAATTTCAGTGACCAATGACCCTCTCTGTTCTACAAACAGATGCTATTTGATTCTGTTGGAAACAGATACTAAAGAAAAAAAGTCTAATTATTCTTACTGATACATGTGTATACAAAACAGTCAGTATTTTTTAAATGGAGGGGGAAAGATTTTAGATCTCTTTAGATCTAACATGAGACATGAAAAATACTTTTCAGTAATGTTTAAGTTTTATGACTTGCCATTGTCAGACTAACCAATTTTTAATAGGAGTTTATTAAGACAAAGATACGGGGCCAGATTATCTTCATTTAAATCTGCTTTATATCAACCATTTTACACTGGCTTAAAATGAGAGGACACAAACTCTCACAGCAGGACTGGATGTCAAGGACTGGATAAATAATCTTCCCTAAAGAAAACGATATTTTGTTGAGCAAAATCTTGCTGTGTTGCTCAACAAAGTGAGATCTCAAATATTTAAATAGCTTGGTTCTGCATTTGCTACCATGGCCAGTATAGATACTTAATTGTTTGAAAGTGTGCATGGAAGTTGCATACTTATAGTGCATTTATATTGGTGAGCAAGTGTGATTATCAGTCTATCGTTTCAAAAGAGACAAAGATACTCTTGAGATGTGTGATTGGACAGATGTATATTAAATGCAGAAGGATACACTTTTTCTATCAGTTTTCTCCATTTCCATTTGACAGATATATTTCCCCTGTGCTTTTACAAAGTACAAGTTGACAATCTATTTTTTAGGTCTACTGTACATTCACAGAAGTATCAGCATGAAACGGTGGCTAGGTTTGTGGTTAACTTGTACACCCCCTGCTGGCTCTGCTACAAAATAGGAGAAAAGAATTCCAAAGGGTTGAAATATTTCAAAAGTATTGGGAAATTATTTCAAAATAGGTAATATTTTGAAAATTGTAGTCTACATTTGTAACCATAAATCAGAGTGCCCAAACCTCCATGTTTGGACAGGCAAATCAAGGATATGTCTAGTTAGCCACCCTGGCACATGGAAAATTATTGACAAATTAAAAGCTCCTTTGAAAATAATTTGGCTTTATAATCTTATGTAAGCCGTGACTATCATTTGCTTTTGCTTTTCATTTCTTATCAAGAAAGCGGAGGAACATTTTTAAAGGTTGTCTTTGGGATTCTTTCTTTTAACAGATTGTGCCAATTGAAGATAGAGCTAATCTTGAATCTAAATCAGCAGTGGGCAATAACCAGCCCATGGACTGGACATGGTTGACCAGGGTCAGCCCCTGCCGGCTTGCTAGCGCTTTATTTACCTGCGTTTCAGCAGGGAGTCACAGGTTTGGTTTAGCTGGTATAGCAGCTTGAAGCTCTGGTTTGCCTCAGATCACTGTACCTAGCCAAGGGGAACTGCAGGAAGCAGGGTCCTGGTCCGCACCACTTCCCACAGTGCCCATTGCCCAGGATTGGGGATCCAGAGCTTCAAGTGGCCGTACTTACAGAGGTGCAGATAAATAAAGCATCAGCAGCGCTCCAATAGCTAGCCCCAGTGAACTACATCTGGTTTATTGCCTACCCTCACCTAAACTATATAGCACAGTACTTTTAAAAATACCACATCTTATTAATATACTTGTCTTCTGTCCTAATATAGACTCTTGATTACCTTGAAGCTGGTAATGGAGGTTTTCTTATTTGCATTTGCAAGAGTTTGATTCACCCATTTAATAATAATTTCATCGTTTACTTTTTCCCCCTCTCCAAGGTCCGATAATACATTCAGAGTATATCTGTAACAAAAAGAATGAAATGTAGATCTATTTTCTGTTCCTAATATGATCCAGTAAAAGATAGTGAAATCTTATTTTCAAGAACTTGCATGCAAAAATACCTCAAATTAATTGTATGCGTCAAAATGAATGCCATCTAGCTTAATTTTGTTGAAGAGGATCGCCAAATTATTATATTATAGGAGTAACAAAACAGAATGGTTTCATTGTTTTATGTTTTGAATGATATTTATGACTGTATTTTTCTGCATTTCTTCTACATTTTCTTCATTTTTCAAGTAATCCCTAACATGGCATCTCGAGGTTGCCTGAATGATCCAGACGTATTTTGTTACATTTGTGGTATTTTTGTTCCAAAGTCTTGATGCCCATGTTTTATACCAAAGTAGGTGTGATATACGTTTCTAACAAAATCTGTTATGTTCTGTCTGCTTCTTTGGGTCATTCAGGCAACCTGAAAAAATGCAGAAAAATACAGAAAATATCATTCAAAACATAAAACAATGAAACCATTCTGTTTTGTTATTCCTAATGGCATTCATTTTGACGAATTCAATTAATGTGAAGTATTTTTGCATGGAAGTTCTTAAAAATAAGTCACTACAAATAGTTTTAAGTTCCTGAAAATAAGTCTCAGCATATAATGTATAACACATTATACAGTAAAACTCCATTAGTCCGGCACCCAGTTGTTCGGCACTCCCGATACTCCGGCATCAAAATGTCAAGTGCTCCTGTCCGTCTGATTAAAAAGCTGGCCACTTAGCACATGTGCCGGCTGTACCAGGACGGAGCATAAGATTGGAGGCGGGGGGGGGGGGGGGGGGG